ATCAAATTAAAGAAAGTATACATTGGTAGTAAAATTCACAAAATCTCCCTATCGTAAAACCTAAGGTAGGTACAAAACCCTTAGACTAAGGAGAAAAACGAGAAGTATGCAAAATGTCTAAAACAAATGTCATACAGGATGAAAGTAATGAACCTCAAAGAATATGATGATCGCAGGGTGAGTGCCTCATCAAAACCTCGTTAGGTAGCAAAAACCCGATGGGGAAAAATGTTCATAATCGTAGGAAAAATAGTACATTAAGATAAAGTGAGTATACTAAGGGATACTCCCCCTGAGTTAGACATAACTTCTAAATAAGAGAACTGCAAGCAATTTAACTCAGATATTTTAAGCATACCGATTCCTTGGACGAGCTTTTGAAAAGTAGACTTGGGCAATGATTTCGTGAAAAGATAGGCCAGGTTAGACTGGGAATGGATTTGCTTGACTTCAATGTTTTGATGTTGTTGCTGATGAAAGTAAAAGAATTTCGGCGCAATGTGCTTGGTGTTGTGTCCCTTGATGTATCCTTTCTTTAGCTGCTCGATACATGCTGCATTGTCTTTAAATATCATCATAGGAAGGTCAATGAATGTAGAAAGACCACTAGTGCTTCGAATGTGTTCCATGACTGCTCTCAACCAAAAGAATTCACTCAAGGCTTCATGCAAGGCAAGAATCTTAGCATGGTTTGAAGAAGTCGCAACTAGTGTTTGCTTGGTAGACCTCTAAGATATTGCGGTGTCTCCAACAGTAAAGACATAACCTGTTTGAGAACATGCCCTTTGTGGGTCAAACAAATAACTTGCATCTGCGTAACCAACAAGGTGGGAATTAACCCAAGAATCAAGGGGGCGGTGGATCCTCTCAAGGATTTGTGGGTGTAGAACAAACCAAAATCCGTAGTACCCTTGAGGTAGCAGAAAATATCTTTAACACCATTCAAATGACTGCATGTAGGCACATTGCTGTATCTTGCCAAAAAATTAACATCGAAGGAGATGTTGGGTCTAGTGCATTGAGCTAAGTACAATAAAGGACCAATTACACTTAGGTATGGAACTTCAAGCTCCAAAATCTCTTCCTTATCCTCATTAGGACGGAAGGGATCTTGTTTAGCATCTAGAGTCTGAACGACCATATGAGTACTTGAAGGCTTTGCTTTATCCTCATTAAAACGTAGCAACACTTTCTAGGTGTAGTTCAATTAATGTATTAGGATTCCATCCAAATAGTGCTCGATCTCCAGGCCAAGACAATATCGAGTTTTCCTAAGATCCTTCATCTCAAATTTCAATTTCAAGTAAGTGGCAGTTTCTTCAAGCTCTTTGGGAGTTCAGATGAGGTTTATGTCATCGACATAAACTGCAAAATTGAAAATCTGGAATGTGACTTCTTGATGAACATGCATGGGTATAGATCATTGTTCACTTAACCCTAACTTGTTAAATATTTACTTAGATGGTTATATACCACATCCGCCTGGATTGTTTCAATCCGTAGAGTGATCTCCTCAGTTGAATCAAAAGGGTGTTTCATGGTTTAGAACTATTTGAACTAGTCAATGAAAGTCATTCGAGAACTTTCATATAGATTTCCATATCTAGATCTCCATAGAGATAAGCGGTTACCACGTCTATATGCTGCATATTCAATTTTTTGGAAACTACCAAACTGATAAGGTAGCGGGACATTATGATGTCCATTACAGGGGAATATGTCTCCTCGTAATCAATCTCAGGGCATTGAGAGAAACCTTGTGCTACGAGGTGTGCTTTGTATTGCACTATTTCATTCTTCTCATTACGTTTCCTTATGAAAAACCCATTTGTAGCCCCACGAGCTTCATATGTGGTGGAGTAGGAGCTACGGGTTTCTAGTTTGGGCAGTCGGTTCTACGTCGACATTCCTTAACGGAACGTGGTTCAATGTCATCGCTAAGCATGATGTCGGTAGCTACTGTATACGCATCGTCGACGATCATCTCATTTCGATTCCAAACCTCATCCAATATTGTGTAATGGATTGCAATCTTGCGAGTCTTGGGAGGCCGGTTTGTTTTGTCTAAGACATCACCGTAATCTATAATAACCTCATGCATTGGAACAGATGAGTAAGCGATGGTTAGATTCATCCTAGGTTCACTAGTTTGTGCCATTTTCCTCTTCTAGGGTTGTGAATCCTTTTGAACCAAGGAATCTTCCATACATCAGGGTAGGACTAGATGATTGGCTAACCGTCAATGTACCGGACCACATGGGAGGTGCGGCCGACCCTCATTTGGGGATGGCTTGTCCGTCTGGGGTAATGTTACAGTGTACTTTTGGTACGTCAATCATTGTAGGTGTTTTTGCAACAGGTATACATGGAATCTACAAAGTGTATGTTGGCGTATGGATGTGTTTTCATTTTGAATGAAAGAGCTGTGAGTTGGAAAAGCAATATGTAGAAGTGCATAATACTATCCACATGAGAAACATAATATGATTATGCTTCAAAAGCCATTCAAGAGGTTGTTTTGGATAAAGAAGTTCATAATTGAATTTGGATGGTGTGATACTCGGGCTCATATGTATAAGTATGAAGATAAATGAATGCTCAATAAAGAATCTACCACCATCTAGTAATTGTTCAATAGAATGAAAATCCCTCGAAGCCACTTGAAGATTTATCTCGGTCATGTTCGCCCAAAGTACCTGTTGGACAAGCTATGTTTGTATGAATTACTTCAACATGAGATACACCATGACAATCATACATGACTACATGTGATTTGACATATTCAGATCACATTAATCTTGATCAGGATATGAATGATAGAAGAACTGAATTTCATTGTAACTACAATCAAGGTTCGAAAGAGTACCACGATTAGTTAATGTATACTTCTATAATCAAGGTCAAGCTCTTGACATCAAAACCTTAGGAGGGGTGTGGTAAAAAGGGGCAATGTGTCTATAAATACTCCTTCTGTTTTCTTTCAAACCCTAAGAGTATCCAGTTTTATACCTTAAAGAAAAGGGAGAAAAAACCTAAGCCAAATACACCTTATGTGTCGCCCATTCTATATTGGGAGCTTCACGTGGTCAATCATGAAGAGGAAGATTGCAAGCACAGGGATGATCCAATCATGTAGCATGCACATGGCTAGATGTTCAAGTAAGTTAATCTCTTCGACTTGTTCTTTGTTGCATCACCAATTACAACCAACCAGATATATAATTGAGATAACATATTGTGTGTTGCTATTATTTTTTTCGCTGTGTATGAAATTATTCAAATTAAACTAATCCCAATAATATGCTCGGAAACCCAACACTTTTTTGAAATGTGGCTGTTCTGACGGCTATCTATCTCATGAATAGGATGCCATCTAAAGTATTGGATTTCATACTCCCTTACAGCCTCTCTCTCAGTTCGGGCCCCTCCCATCACCCCTAATGTTGCCACATTGAGTTTTTTGGTGTTTAGTGCTCGTCCATCTCCATAAAAATCAACGCACTAAACTTGACTCTTGTGTCGTCCATTGTGTATTAGGGATATAGGGCTCATAAAAAGGTTATTGCTGCTACCATCCTCCCATTCGATGTACTTGTGTCACCATGGATGTAAATTTCTTGGAGGCTGATATGCATTATTCTTCCTCCCCTTCTAACTCTACTTTTTAGGGGGAGACCGCAACTGAAGAAAAGACTTGGACAGAAGCACACTGACCACAACACATCCATAACCAATATTGACCACGACAAAACCACAGTTAGCATGACTGGCCACGGTCCAACCACAACTGATAACACAACTGGACATTGCAGGTTCATTAGTCCAGATGCCCATGATATTGAAGTTTCTTCCCCCTATCTTCTCAAAATATAGTACCAACGGACGACCTTGCTTTTGAGAATATTCATGAGGTAAAGTCTAACTATTCTGATTAATGTTCAAACTGTTCAACTTTCTAGTTGCCTTACAGGCATAACCAAGGGAAACCACCTAATCGATACTCATTGGATAAAGGAAAATGGTCTAAATATCTTTTCAACAACTATTAGTTGGTAGTGTTCTACGTTCCTTGAATGAGGCACTATTTAATACTAGATGGACCAAGGCAATGCAAGAAAAGATGAGTGCGCTTCAAAAGAACCAAAGATAGGATTTAAGTCCCATTTCTAAGGGGAAAGAAAAGAGTGTGGTGCAGGTGGATTTACACAATTAAGTATAAAGCTGATAGGTCCATGAAGAGATACAACGGATGATTGATTGCCAAGGGCTATACTTAAACCTATTATTGGAACTAAATTTGTGCACCACCGTGTGTGGTGGAAGTGCTCCAACTCGACTACCTGCAAAGTAGTAAACAACCGTGAACAAGCCTAGAACCCGAGTAGAGGGAGGTATGCTAGCCAAAGGCTCTCTGATGGTCAAGTTAGTGAATAGTTTTGGACTCGAGGCAGTGGGCAACCAAATTCAAGTGTTTACATTACGTTACCAGAGGTGAACCCTAGACAAATGTATTTATACCGTTGGGAGAGAGACCTTTTTAGGATAGAATCCTTGATCTAAGTTGGGAGAATCCTAGAGGATATCTAGAAGTAGATACTGCATCCTCTTAGGACTTATGATTACTTGCGACGTATGCCAATTCCTAGATTGTAGGAACTCAAAGACTTAAAGGATCTGATTATGTCCATATCTGAATTAGATCGCGTGTCTTGCTGAATAAGCATGGTCATCCAGTAGAGTTGCCTGGACTCCACCTATGCCTTGGAATAAGGTGATGGTTGCACCTCTACTTTGTTTGATCTAGCTCTGCCTAGAGTTGTAGGTCCATTACTGGACCTCTAGGGCACGTTTGTTTGGCTTCACTAACCTGGACTGGATTGGATTGGACTAATTTTTAGTGTAATCCTCTGTTTGTTGGCTACTAGGACTAAGTTTAATGGTATTAAGTGGGACTCGCTTTCACTAACTCCTTTGTTAGGTGGTCCTAGCGAGACCCCCCCAAATACGAGCGAACTAGCTAAGACCGTCGTCATCCACCTGCTCGCTCGCCTCTTCGTGTTCGTCTTGTTCATCCTGCTCGCCCTACTTGTCATGCTCGTCTTGATCGTCCTGATCGCTGGACTAACTACATCGGCCACACTCGCTCGCTCGAGCAGGCCAAGAAATCGTCAGTCTTTCTCTCACTGATCATTTACAGATTCCATTTGTTGTTTTGATTATGTGAAATCTAGATTGCTTTGATTATGTGAAATCTGGGTTGGTCTTATGTTGCGAAATTGCTTGTTCTTCAATGATTTCTGCTTCTGGGTATTTTATGATGTAGTTGTATGAATTTGATTTTTTGCTTCTATGAAATTGCAAATTCCATTTGCTGCCATTGTAAATTAATTCATCTGTCTCTCTTGATACAGTCTTTGACTCCTTATACATTATTTAGGTGACTTTTAACCTTCTGCATGGAGTTACTTGATATTGTATCTGTCAATCTATGCGAGCTCCAAGGTTTATCTTTCTATTTACTAATTTATCTTTGGGGGAATTTTGTCATAATGAGTTAGATAAGGGTGTTCTTGGGCTTATTTAGCATTATAATCAATTACTAAATGGATCATATGGATCATTATTGTTGCATAAAGTAGTTAATTGGTTATCAATATCATCTGTAAGGAGTGATGTCTGGATTAAGCTTGCAGTTCTGCTCCTTTGTTTGGCAGTTTTGTATGGGTTGGATGTAAGCATGAGTCCTGCATTGTAAGATTATGGTGCCCTTTAACTGAAGCTTGTCATGTATTTGATTGAAATAATATGAAATAAGCACAACTGGTTGTTGATGGTGATCCAATGTAGTTTTTGGGACCTAATGAGACAATGTTGTGGATACCTGAAATATCAGTACTGAAAATGAAACATGATTGAGAAAGTCTTAGAAAAACATCCTACCTTTATATATTGATACGTTAGATAGGCACACTCTTTCTTTTGCTTTATTCTTACAGCCAATTCTCTATTTCTCTCTGATAGAATTGATGATATCAGAGCATTAATCTCCTTAACCTCATTTCCTTCAATGATTGGCTATACTTTCTTATGATATCAGAATAGGTTTTGCAGAAGGGGTATGGATGGTAGGCGTGATTGATGAGATTAAAATGCCTGTTACAGAAACCAACCGAAACCCAATATTAGTTGACACAAAGACTTGTGTGAAAGATACACTTCCTGCTGAACCACAACGAAGAAATGGAAGGTATGCACCTTTATTAGCTTCTGTTTTGGGCTGATGTTTTGTTGCCGTTGATGAGGAAATGCACCAGAATTAAGTGCGAAGTCTGCGGACTATACTAATACACCAAGTTAGAGAAAAGCAGTAGCATTGGTGATGTTTTAATCAGCATCCTCAGTAAGTGTACAAAGAAGCACAATTCTTGGAGTTGCTTCTTTGTGGTAATTGCTATGTTGGTTGTGCCATGAATGTATTGTTCATGTTGTATCGTAGCCATTGTTTGATTCAATTGTTGTAAGTTATTCTTTGGATGAAATCGTTAAACAAGAGTTGTAAAATTCAATTGTTTTGTATGGAAAGCTACGCTCAAAGTGCAAAGGATGTCTCTCTATCAAATTTAGCAAAGTCATATAGTGATGTTACAATTGTATGTTAAAATTGGGATGAATGAATATGGTATTATTCATGGATTTTGGGAGGCTGTGAAGAAGAAATCGAAATTTTCTTCCTCCAAATTTATGGTCTGATAAGTTAGAGTTTTTAACAATTTTGGGACATTTGGGTTGTTGAATGTTTATAGATTTCTCAATTTTAGAGGCTTAGAGGGATTTTAGACCAAAAAGTGAGAAAGTTTGATGTATTGATTCTGAATTCCTATGTTGTAGGAAAGTGTTGTTTGTTTTTGCAAATTGCAATGCTACAATGCACAAAAACTCGATATTTTCTTTCGTTTCCAAGCAATTGCCGTTGAGTTTAATGTAATTATCATTTGATTTGACTGTGGGTATTTTGCAGTTGAGTTAGATGTTATTTTATCGTTAAAATTTGTAATTTCACTATTTTTCATTATCTTGGTTTTTAGTCCGACACTGCACCAAACGCTTCACTAAATCAGTCTAGCTTAGTCTATTCTAAGCCAGTCCAGCTTAGTCCCTGAAGCTAGCCCAGTCCGAGATAGTCCGATGCAACAAACGCACCCCTAAGGTAACTGTATTCGGATCAACCTTACCCCAACCCTAGTAAATCATGGTCCCACAATTGCCAATAATTATACATCTGAGAGGCAAGCCGTTCCCCTTGATATTGGATAGTTATCCAAAGACCATGCCTTTCAGAGTAAACTGGAATACATACCATTTAATCTTCTATCTGTGTGTGTTGATTTGACTCTTGGCATTAAAGTGAGGTAGCTGAGTTGCTTCGATTTCTGTCACGCAACCTTTAAAATCGTACATAATTAACCGTAATGATGATAGATGACTCCATTTCGTGTTCACAAAATCAATCGCACGTTTCTTTAAGTAGCTTTGATCCTTGCACTCATCAATTTGAAGGCGGAAAACTTTTCACATTCAATGGCAAGATCTTCTAGTGACTTGCCTTTAATATCTATTCCTACTTGGAGATTTCTAAATCCATTTTTACTTTCACATCATGGAACTTATGCGTTCCAACAAAAGCTTTCTTTCTACACCTAGTTTCCTCTTTGATCTTTGGATGTTTGGAATCCTTAAACCAAAAATCTTCCTTTTTTCTCAACAATATCTTCCAAATGAAGCTAAGCAATTCCCAATTTAGCCATAATTCCATGCTAATATCCCTTGCTTCTTGCAATTTATTCCATAACATTCATCCCCTCTTAGCATCCTCCATGCAGTCCTTGTGTATGGGTGGAATCTCAGCAAAATGCTGAGATTCTTAAGAGGGTTTTTCATCATCGCTTTCTTCCTCATCCTTTGCTTGTGGACGATGACGGCGTCAGATCTCCATCAAAATACTCAGCCTCAATATAATATTATGCTTGGAATGCAGCAAGATGGGCATAGTACATAATCGATCCTGTAGTAGTATCTCGATCAACACTAAAGATTCTTGCCAAGTAGCTTTCAAAATTTTCCTTTTGTCAAGGGTGAAGGTTTGTCTCCCCCAAACTCTTCTACCTATTTGACCCCTTTCATTGGGACTTTGATAATAAACATGTACTTGTGTGAACATTTTACTTTGTCTTGCGTCTTCTTTTCGAAATCTAATAAATCCTTCCAAAGTAAACAAACTTGTAAAAATAAAATAAGCAACAGGGCAAGATACGAGTAAGTTTGTGGTCCCGGGATAGAGCCAAAAAAAGCCCCCTCAGTAATGTTGATTCGGAGAAACATTACCTCCCAAACTTAGCATCCATAAAGTTTTCTCATCGCGATATCCAGAACAACACTTTACTTTGGTACCAGGAATTAAACATTAAACCCATGAAGAATCTTTCATTTTGTGCTTACTAATGCATTTATCAGACTTAAGAATCTCAAACAACTTACAAGAAACAGATCAATAACAACTTTTTACATTGCCCCAGTTTTTGGATCAAGGATTTCAATACTTGCAATGTAGTACTAAAAAAAGGATTTATTTCCTAGACTAGATTATGTGTCTATTTCCATTGAAGCTTAAACAACAGTTCTTTGGAAACTTGATCGTCGGCTTGTGGATCAAAAACACTTTTTGAATCCTTTTGTCAGACCCTATGCGTTGGACTAGAGGGTTTCTGATCGGGCAACCTTAACTAGCTGAGTCAAAGCATTTCCATGTATCGGAGCTCCAATGGAATAAAATTCCTCCTGGGGATTTCGTAGTTTGGATGCCCTATTCGGACCTACTAACATACGATGTTGTAGAACATACTCGACTTAGTACGTTGGTTCGTGATAGAAGTAGTCCTACTCAAGGTTGGAGTTTAGAGCCACCTTTGAGTGATTTTCGAATAGCCCTTCTGATTATTCCCTTCAATGGCGTAGAGACCTGGGTTTGAAGGTTATAACCCACAACTTTACTAGTTGTATAAAATTTCCATAGGCCAAATGATGCAATGGACTTCCAGATCAGGGGGCCATGTGCTTATGCTTGTAGTCCACCCATCATAAATGGGCTTATTACGGAGTCTCCCAAACTGTTTAACATGGAATGGGCTAAGAGAAACTCCACTAACAGTGCTGTTTTTAATTTTAGACTTACATTCGTGTGAAGTTTTCAAAGTTTATGATTTGTTTGGGACAAGTGAGGTATTCCCTGCATCATAAAAAAAGAAATAAAATAACATATATTGAAATCAAGACAGATAAAATTCCATTATTCATGGTAAAGATAGGATTGATTAACAAGGGGTTGTGATTGAATCTGGGAAGACAGATAAAATTCCATTATTCATGGTAAAGATAGGATTGATTAACAAGGGGTTGTGATTGAATCCGGGAAGAATTACCTACCTATCTATAGGGAGGATAATCAAATCACTAGTGTAGTTTTAAGAAGAAAAAAAAAATGATATTATGTAAAAATTACATCAGAGATCATTTTTCACGACAAGCCTATGATGAGGCGTTCGAAGATGAGTTCTCCATGGACTTGTCTTTGTGCAGACAACAGCGTTGCGATTGAGTCTAGAGTGGACATCCTACATAACCCAAGAAGGAAATCAAACTACATGTAGGCCGAATTACCTTTTCTTTTACTCGATCTGAAGATTTAGGTGGAGAGTCCATCTCAGGATAATGGGAATTCAGTTTCTTATGACCCTTTCCATAGCAAAGGACAACAAAACTCTCTAAACAATCAATGGATCTGGCTGGTAGTTTTGAGTACCATCTCATAGCAGGCTTCTCCAAGTGGATGGGAACATTTTGCACATCTAGTCATCATTGTTGCTGTATAAGGCCATGGTGTTTTAGTAGTATGACATGGTAGTCTGGGTTAGAATCACCATGGAATGACTTGAACCTAGGTTGGAAAAACTTCTCTGGTGGGGGAGGGCCATCGAAAATGAACTTCTAATCTGGACTGTTGGCCTGCTAGAAATGCGAGGGTGGTCTTTCCTGACCAAACTCATGGGGTTTTCTTTATCCAAGGGACGTTGCCTCTTTTGGTTTTCAAGAAATTCAGGTTTGTCGAATCTTAAATGACAAGGCTTTACTCTCGGAGTTCCTATTGCATTCTAGAGGGTAGAATTCTGCAATTCCTGGAGTTTGTCTTTGGCGGCTACATTGGTGACTTGTTCATCGCGTAAGGGACTTATGCTTAAACTAGTTACATTTGTGGAGATTGGGATGATAGGTGACACTACGGGTTCTGCTTCGGGGGTTATGGTGCTTATGTTTCCACAACTAAGAATAAGACTTTAGGTTTGAGGAGTTGTTCTGCTTGAGTTGTACAGATTCCTCATACGCTTCTCGATGGCCACAAAGTTGGAGTGGGTTTCTACTCGAGCGGAAGTTTAGTTCTTTTGCAACTTCTTGATAGAGGTGTTGATCTTCATCAGGGTTTCCCAGATCTGGTCCACGGAATGAGGTGGCCTGTTGACCAAGTCCACATTGTTTCTTAATACAGATGTTACTCCTTGCAGGCTTTTACTTGCCCCTAGGGTGGCAGTGACCTGGGGTAGCGGGTTGTCTGCCTTAGGAATAATGGACGCATTAGATGGTAGGTTATCCCCACTAATGGGGTTAATGTTGGTGTTAATCGAGCTTTGTTCGGCAGACATGTTAGTTGGTAGAGTGATATGGTCAAAAGAAATATAAGTTCACTCTCAATGAAAGCACCAATTATTGGAACCATATTCGTGCATTGTCGTGTGTGGGGGAAGTGCTCGAACTCAACTACGTGCAAAACAATAAACAACTATGAGCGAGAAAGAGAGACATTTTTAGGACAAAAACCTTATTCTAAGCCGAGAGAATCATAGAGGATATTTAGAAGTAAATATTGCATCCTCTTAAGAGTTATGATTACTTGTGGTGCACGCCAATTCCTAGATTGTTGGAACTCTAAGACTTATAAGGATTTGACTGGGTTCATATCAGGATTAAATCACTTATCTTGCGAAACAAACATTGTCATCCAGTAGAGTCTCAAGAACTTCACCTATTGCCCCAAAATAGGGTGATGGTGGCACCGCTACTCTGTTTGATCCATGACCAAACTTCTGAGGTAACTGGGTTCGGATCAGCCTTAGTTCGACCTAGAAAATCATGGTCCCACATCTATGGTATTGACTACACAAGACATCTGCTCTAGTAGCATAGATAAATACGATGAGAGTGTTGTTTTCTTTGGCTGCAAATCTAGGCTACACTACAACAATTTGATGTGAATAACGCTTTCTTACATGTAAATCTTAAAGAAGAGGTGTATATGGACATTCCACCAGTATCCATCACTTACACAAGTAGGGTAGTATGTAAATTGAACAAAGTTTTGTATGGACCGAAGCACTTGCCTCGTGCGTGGTTTTGGGCGATTTTGAATGGCCATAAGAAAATATGGGTTCAGGCAGAGTAACTCATACCGTACGCTTTTCTTAAAACTCAAATGAGTAAGATAACATCATGATTGTTACTGGTGATGACAAGAAAGAAATATCGAGCTTGAAAGATTACTTGGCAACTGAATTCGAGATGAAGGATTTTGGTAGGCTTCAGTATTT